TATATATGGATTTCAAAAATGTGTTTTTTAATTATTACTACTAATAGTGTAAACACGTTAGCTTTTTTTACCATTTTTTTCCTAAAACATAAAAAGGAATATGTTTAAATTTTTTAATATGTAGTTTCCTACTTGTTTTTAAGGTTTCCTTAGGTGATCTCTGCTTAATGCAAAAGATTTTAAATTTCTCTTTGATACATGTGATCTTTGATAAGGTCATGTATAGGAAATTTCTTAATATCACCTTATTTGAAAAGGTTTGCTTTGACAGTTCATTTGAAAGCACTAGCTCAATTATACAGTAATATGTAGAAAGATAGTAAATACAAAGACTGACTTTATTTGTGAAGTTTAAATTTTTTCTTTCTATAGGGCCAAAGAATGCAATGCTTCGCCTAGCTGTAAAATTTTTCCCACCTGATCCTGGTCAGTTGCAGGAAGAATATACAAGGTAAAGAGCTCACAGGGGTCTAGAACTGTTGACAGCAGGGGGCTTGTATTCACCTGTTGTCTCCCACAGCACATGGCTCATTGAAAGAATGAATGAGCTGAACATACACAAGAAAACCATAATACATGTAGAGTACTTAAAAGGAGCATTTTGGAAGTTGACTCTTGCACAAACACAAATGTGACTAGGACTTAGGAGAAAAGTTTTTGTACAAAATGGAATGGATGTTAGGGTAATTTGAACCAGTATTCTCTAAATGAGCATAGCTTTATGCACGTTCATAAAGTCCTTAGGGATCTTCCTATGTATGTACTTATTTGTCAACAAAATGCACTTAACTGGCAGAAGTGTTCAGTGTGATTGTCCTTGTGAATATATGGAGAAGGAATATTTTAGGTGATTTCTTCCGTGCTACTTTTGAATTGAAGCTGATTCTTTGCAGAAATGATTGAAAAAAAATGTTAACAGTTGTTTCATCTGGGCAGTAGGATTATAGAAGTATTTTTTTGATACATGTATTTTTGATACGTGTATCAATTTTATAATGAAGAATAAAGCAGTAACCTAAAAAACCAACTCAAAACCCAAGATCAGATATAAGATAAAAGAGAACCATGAGGTTGTAGTTGTAGCAGAATGACTTTTTAGCCTTCCTGGCTAAAAGTGGATTCATAAATGAATCATGGGTGTCTTATGAATTCCCTCTTCTTTTTGATCCACCCCTCTACCCTGCCAGTGCTGCAGCACTAAAGTCGGAGCAAGAGGCAGGTAACTCCCTGTTAAAGGTTTTTGCAGGTCATTGTAACGTCACAAATCACTGGATATCAGCTGTAAGGAATGGAGAGATCACATTAGTTCAGCCTCTCGTTTTATAGGTTGAGGAAACTAAACTTCAAGGATGGCAAAAGAGTATTTTTGTGAATGAACACAGATTTTATCTTAATAGTATATTAAATGCCTGACATTTACCAAAAAAAATCCCTTTTGAGGGACTCACTTTCAAATATATGTAACTGAAAATTATGGGTAACAGAGAGTGTCCCCTAATTCAGGATCCTGGGTCTAAGTCTTAGACCCAGGAAGTCAGTTTTATAGTTACTCCCTTTTGCCCTATTTTTATGCAGAAGGTCCTATTTTTTATTTATAAAAAAGCACATGTTTTGGTAAAACAAAAAAAAATTTAAATAAAGCCATGTAAAAAGTAAAAGTTCTCTATCACTACCCACCCACCCCACTTTCTGCAAGTACTAACACTTGAGTGCGTATCTTCTAGATAAATGCACAGATACACAATACACATGTAAACATAAGGCCTTAAAGAAATTATTATGTTACAAAGTTGTATCAAATGGTACATACTGAACTATAGGTTGATTTTGTTCCCCACTTAATAGCATACCATGGACACCTTTCCATATTAGTATATATGGCTATAACCTAATTTATTTAACTATTCTCATGTTTGTGCATATTTATATTGTTTCCAATTTTTCTCTGTTATGCTGCAAAGAAACATCTTATCCACATGCCTTTATATTGGAATATTACTGTAGGAAAGATTTGTAGAAATGAATTGCTGAGTTAAAGGGTATGCATATCTTAATTTAAGAGATTTTTTTTTTTTTTTGAGACAGAGTCTCGCTTTTGTTACCCGGGCTAGAGTGAGTGCCATGGCATCAGCCTCCCTCACAGCAACCTCAAACACCTGGGCTCAAGCAATCCTTCTGCCTCAGCCTCCCAAGTAGCTGGGACTACAGGCATGCGCCACCATGTCCGGCTAATTTTTTCTATATATTTTTAGTTGTCCGATTAATTTCTTTCTATTTTTAGTAGAGACGGGGTCTCGCTCTTGCTCAGGCTAGTTTCGAACTCCTGAGCTCAAACAATCCGCCCGCCTCGGCCTCCCAGAGTGCTAGGATTACGGGCGTGAGCCACCGCGCCCGGCCTAAGAGAATTTTTAATAGGTTGCTTAGAATGTAAATTCCAATAGAGTCAGGGAGTTGGTCTTGTTCACCATTGTATTTCCAGCTCCAGGAATAGTACCTAGAACATAATACATGCTCAATAATTATTTGTTGATGGAGTAAGTTAATATATAAATATTTTCAAATTTACCTTCTCCTGTTACATTCTCACTAATGATATTCCAGAGAGTGCCTGTTTCTCAGATCCTAGCCAAGACCAAATATTATCAATCTGTTAAAAAATTTGACAACCACATTTTAAGTTGTGTCTTAATCATATATCTCTGCTGTTTCATCCAAAATTGTGTATGCAATATTGTATGTGTAACAGGAGTGATATGAATTTGTGAACTTCCTCCTTGAAGGTATTGCTACAGATAGTGTAATTACATACTATGTGATATGCCTGAAAAGGCTAATTTCACTTTTCTGTTGTTTGTGTTGGAGTGCCTCTGTGTGCTCAGCACTTTCTGTGTACTCTGCTGTGTGAGACTCAATCTGCTGAATTGATTTGTCATCTGACCTTTACTTGGTGACCAAGTTGCATCACAGGCCTTTTGTGACTTTGCCTGTTTTGTGACGGCCCTGCATTTTGCTCACTGCTGGGTTGCTGCTGCTGCTTCTTGGGGCTTGTTTGCTCTCTTGCTGCAGAGACATGTCTGTATTATGTTCACCGAACATTTGAGTTGAGCCCTGTCTTGTTTTTAACCCCCTTCTAGATACTTGTTTGCCTTGCAACTTAAGAGAGACCTGCTGGAGGAGCGTCTGACCTGCGCCAGCACCACCGCGGCCCTCCTCACGTCCCATCTTCTGCAGTGTTAGTATCTAGGATCTGCCCCCCAGGGCGTGGGAGGGGGAGCGTCTGCTGACGATGTCACAGGTGCACCAGCACTCAGGGACTGTACTTAGGTGCTGATGCACATGCGTAGTTAGCGAGTGGGATCCAGAATAAGGTATTTCAATCCCAGTACTTTTCTGTAAGCTAAAGAGTAACTTCTGCAAAGGGAGCTCCTTGAGGCAGTCTCCACCCAGCAAGCAGACACTCAAGGCCATTCATTCTTTCAGATTGTCTCTCATGTATGCCTTTATGCATTTTAACAATAATACATCTTCAGTCACATCAACCAAACTGTCAGCACACCCTGAAAAGGGCCTCATTAGGATAAAAGTTATGATCCTTTATGATTAGTTAAGCATTAACCATGAAGGAAAAGGAAAACATTGCTTCAGTATCTCACACGGATCAAGAGATGGTTCAGAGTATGTGAAGGATTATAGTTACTTCAAAAATAAACTATGAGAAGTGTTAAGAGGTTTGGAGAAATGGTTGTGTGCCTTCCTGTGGGCTTACAAAGCCAGCAACTGTAGGAATAGAAAGAAGGAAATACATTGCGTCTGGACTAAAGGCTGAACCACAGTTTCCTAGCACAGAACTAATGTTTCTGAAATTTGAATGCAAGAAATTGACGTAGAAAGTTTCAGAAATTTTAGGAATTAATAAGTATATGGGTTATTTGTAGTTTCCTTGGTTCTTCCCCAGACACACCTTGAAATGCAAATTTTATCGTTGGTTTCCGATCCTGCACCATGGGACTTGTTGACTATCATTAATAAAAGTTTTCACAATGAATTGGGGTTTTTTTTCATTTGGCCTGAAGACTTGTCAGGTAGACAGATGGCTTTTCAGTGCGTTCTTTGGAACTGTTGTTTAGTAGTGCCACTTGCTTAAGGGTTCTGTGTGGTTCAGTGGGACTGTTAATTGTAATAACTTGTCCAACTGTAACTTTTACCTTAGACATATGCTGCTTAGATTGAAGGACCCTAAAGACACACGACAACTAAATGCAGTCTGTGATTCTGAACTGGGTCTTTCAGTATAAAAAAAAAAATTGGGCAGTTGGTAGAATGTGAACCAGGTCTGAGTTGGGTAGAGCAGCAGATTGTGGCCCCTTTCCTGATCTGAGTGGTTTCACTATGGTTGTGGGTAAGAATGTCCTAGTTTGTGGGAAATCCAGACTAAAGTGTGACAGGCCCTGTGTTGGCAATTTGCTCTGAAATGGTTTGAAGGGGAAAAGCTCTTGTACTGTACTTGTAACTTCTCTGTGAATTTGAGGTTGTTTCAAAACAGTATATTGCTTTAAGTTATTGGACTTTACTACTGTTTTTAAAACATTTATAGCCTTAAAATATATGAGATGAGAAAGTGACGTAATTCCTCAAGAAATCTGAGAAACCCTGAAGGAAAAAATGATTTAAAATACAGTATGCTGAAACAAATAAAATACATTATCCTGGTGATAGTAGTCTTAAGACAACTTATATATAAAATGTGGTTTAAAAAAAATAATAAACAGGCCAGGTACAGTGGCTCACACCTGTAATCCCAGCACTCTGGGAGGCCAAGGCAAGAGGATCACTTGAGCTCAGGAGTTTGAGACCAGCCTGAGCAAGAGCGAGTCCCTGACTCTACTAAAAATATTAATAGAAAAATTAACTGGATGTCATGGCACCTGTAGTCCCAGCTACTGGGGAGGCTGAGGCAGGAGGATCACTTGAACCCAGGAGTTTGAGGTTGCTGTGAGCTGTGACGACGCACTGCTACCCAGGGCAACAGGTGAGACTGTCTCAAAAAGAAAAAAAAAGGAAACTTAACCCCCCTTCTCATTCCCCTCTTCATACTAAATAAAAATTTTTAAAAAACTAACTAAATAAATGAACACATTAAATTCACAGTTCTGTGTTTGCCTCCCAGAGTCATTCATCAGAGTCTTTGTTCTTTGAATCAGACAAAATTCTCTTCACTTGCCTTTATATTTGCCTTTTAACAGCATAAAATATTTGGAAAAATAAAATAGAAACTCTTGCTTTTTTAGGAATATATTATTTTACTACAGATTTAGGATAATTTCTTTTTACTCTTAATTTATGCATTGACATCTACAAATGCTTATAGTTTATTTAAAAATTAGAATTACTGATTTTTATTGTCTCATCTCAGCGGAAATAGGAGATTATGATGAAACCCTGGATCGAGAGCACCTCAAAGCCAATGAGTATCTGCCCAGCCAGGAGCACTGTCTCGAGAAGATACTGGAATTTCATCGGAAGCACATGTAAGTCCGTCAGAATTGGCTCCTGACACATTGTTACCACAACAGTGACTAATACCAGTATAACCAAAAGGGAGCTGTTGTCAAGGCTTCTGGGAGATTCTGACTGGAGTGAGGACTGTTGCTCCCTGTAGGTGACGGGGCCTACATGGAGGTGACGTCCTGGCCTGGTGCTCCCTCATGCCTGCCAGATGTGCTGCTTTAGGAGGGGCCAGCAAGTCATCCGGCCCGGAGAGGAGGATGCTAGTGAGCAGGACTAGATAGCTGGTGGTCCCCTGCAGCCTGGCAGGAGCTGCGCTGTGGCCCTGCAGTGCAACAGGAGGGTCCTCAACAAGGAAGCAGCCGTTTTGTGGGAGAGGGGGACAGGGTCGTGTGGGGCTCATGGCATCTGTGTTGGGCGCTGGCAGCTGTGCTCTTTGACTTACTGTGTTTCCATGTCTCCGAGACTTGACACTGGTCCGTTTTTCTGGATTGAAGTGAAGGAGACCTGGAGCAAGCGTGCTAGTGGAGGACGGATTGAAAGATGCCATGGGAAAGGGCTATGGGCTGTGGCAGAGATGGCTGGGAGCTTTTGCACCACAGGGAGAGCTGACCTGGAGAAAGTCACTCTGGAAGACTTAGCCCTGCTTTGCAAGGCAGCCTGTTGAGATGCGAGTTTATTTTGTCAGGTAATGCCATGTATTAAGGAATTAAAGCTATACTGGAATCTACTGACAGCTGCCCTTTGACACCATCAGCCAAGTTTTGAGTGCCAACTACATATCAGTCACTGTAGTTGTCAGCACTTGGGGGACTGGTTTGAGTAGCACGACCAAGATTCCTGCCCTCATGGACCTCACTGCTCACAGTACTTCGGGAGTGCCTTTGTGTGCCTGGCATCGTGGCAGACACTGGGTACACAAGTAGCCCTGCAAGTGGGGATGTGGTGTATAGAGAAAGAGCGTAGCTCGTGCACGGTGAGCTAAACAATAGACAGCGCCTACCCGGGGGGCAGAGAGTGGTGCAGTGAGGGTGCAGAAAGGATTGAGAAGATGCTCAGGGAGACTTCTGTGGAGCTAAGCAGGGAAAGTGAGGGAGGAGGCATTCCAGGCTAAGCACCAGCATGGGAAGCGGGGGTGGGAGGTGGGGTCCAGACTGACGCTGACAGTTTAGTTTTAGTTCACGGGCTGGAGCAAGTACAAATGCCAGCGGATAGAGCAGGCGCAGTGGTGGCAATTGCGGACAGCGCTACAAGCATTTGTGTGTGATCTTTAAACCCTCCACAGGGCTTGTGCAGAATCAGACTGAGTGTGCTGTCTTGGATGCCACAGTGTGGGATACCTCTGTGTGTCAGTGCTTTGGCTTTGAGGCCACATGCCTGGTCTGACCTCAAGGAAGCTGCTGTCTCAGTGCGTGTTAGAGCTCTGGCTCCATTTTCCTAATGTCCTTGACTTTGCCTCTTTCACACATTGCCTTTACTCTGGTTGGTAGCAAGGAAGGTGCACCTGTTCTGAGTGTCACATCCAGACCCTGACAACCTGTGGAGCAAGGGTCCTCTCCAAGTGTCAGCCTGAGTCACAGGCCCTTCCCACCAGGAAATAGTCACTGGTTCGGGATTTGTTCCTGGAATTGAGGAGAGATTCCTCCATGCTGAGACACACAGAGCGAGCTGGACGTGAGGAAGAGTAGATTGGGCACTATACTGGGAAGTGTCCAACTAAGGTGACAGCCCCAGGGGACAGATGGATTTGGGATGCTGGGGAGAACGTTGTCAGTAGGTAGGCCATGTGAACCTGTGCAGTGGTAGGTCACGAGGGAGCGGGTAGACACGGAGCAGGAAGAGAGGTGAGCCCAGGAGGAACCCCTGCAGAGCTAGCCTTGAGAGGCTAAGTAAAGAAGCACCCACAGGGGCCCTGAGCAGCCAGGAACGTGGTGGGCACAGGCGCTGGTAGAGTGTTTCAGGAAAGCAGCCGCAGCTCCTTGGGTTGAGGCTTTCCACCAGGCCTAGGAGGGGAGGACAGGAGCATGTCTGTGAGCTTGGCAGCGCGGGGGTGCTTGTGGCCTTTGGCAGCTTTGGTGAGTGTTGAGGGTGGGTTCTTGGTTCGCGCACACTGAAAGTGCGGTGAAGAAGTGTCATGTTGAGAAGCCCACCTGTGGAAGGGAGCAAAGAATTAGACCTCAAGGTAGCTATGCGTGTGTGGGTATGTTCCTGTAGGTACATGTGTGCCTATGTGTGCATAAATGTTCCTATGTGTCCTTTTGCATGCATTGTGCATGTGTTTGGGTGGCTTGGGTGTGCATGTATGTGTTCATGTGTGTGTCATGTACTGTGGTCATGTGCATACACACTTGTGCCTGTGCATGTGTGTGCATCTATTTGAGTGGTGTATATGTGCTTGAGATTGTGTGTGTGTGTCTTAAGGTACATGTTTTAAAAACTCTAGAAAGCCGGTAGGAGAAGGGTAGGTCCAGTGCTCTGCCTCATACAGGAATATGGCTGGACTCTGCTGAGTGAGCCGGGAAGCAGTAAGCTCGGCTCTGTCTCTGGGCACTCACTGCGTTAATACACTAACTGGATCTACCACAGTCATCAAAAACTTAACACGCATGCTTTTCTTTTAATCGTTTTTTGTATAGGCTTTTTAAAAGACAATTGATACGGTTTGGATACATGGCCTCTGAGAATCTCACGTTGAAATTTGATCCCCAAGGTTGGATGTGGGGCCTGGTAGGAGGCGTTTGGGTCATCGGGGCAGATCCCATCATAAATGGCTTGGTGCCCTCCTGCAGCAGTGAGTTCTCTCTGTTAGTTCATGTGAGAGCTGGCATTTAAGAGTGTATGGGCACCCCCTCTGGAGTCTCGCTCGCTCCTGCTCTCGCCATGGGACACGCCTGCTCCCCCTTCTCCTTCCACACTGAGTGGAAGCTCCCTGAGCCCTCACTAGAAGCAGATGCTGGTGCCATGTTTGTACAGTCTGCAGAACTGCGAGTCAAATAAACCTCTTGTCTTTAGAAGTTAACCAGTTTCAGGTATTTCCTTTGTAGCCACACAAATGGACTAACACAATATTATACCTTATTTTAATCATTCTAAATTTCTTACCTTGTCTTATGATTGTCATGATTCTTTCGTGACCCACTGGAAACACCGTTATAATCACTGAATAGGATATTTATATATTTTTTTTTTTTTTTTTTGAGACAGAGTCTCACTGTGTTGCCGGGGCTAGAGTGCCGTGGCATCAGCCTAGCTCACAGCAACCTCAAACTCCTGGGCTCAAGCAATCCTTCTGCCTCAGCCTCCCGAGTAGCTGGGACTACAGGCATGCGCCACCATGTCCGGCTAATTTTTTCTATGTATTTTTAGTTGTCCAATTAATTTCTTTCTATTTTTAGTAGAGACGGGGTCTCGCTCTTGCTCAGGCTGGTTCCAAACTCCTGAGCTCAAACAATCCGTCCGCCTCGGCCTCCCAGAGAGCTAGGATTACAGGCGTGAGCCACCGCGCCCAGCCTGAATAGGATATTAAAGAAGTGTTTTTCTTGACTTTGCCATTTTTATTTTGAATCTTTGAGATTGAAGAAAAAGACTTGAAAGTTGGCCAGAGTTGGAGGTGCATAGTGGTCGCTGGTGTTTGTGTAGATGTACAAAGTTAACGCAGAAATAAATAGCTAAATATCATCTATCTCTTCTTTCAAATGGAGGTTTTCTAACTCCTGAAGATTTCTAAAGTACGTCCTAGGTTTCTGAAGGTGTAAGTTTTCTTCAGACACCAAATTCGTGATTCCTCTCCATAAGTGGATTATTGGCCTATACGTTGAAAGGTAGAAAGTTGTATTTAAAACAGACCATGAAAGCGGGACCTCACCATCATTCTGATCTTGTGGGTTTTTTGTTTTTTTTTTTTTTTTTTTTTGAGACAGAGTCTCACTTTGTTGCCCAAGCTAGAGTTGAGTGCCGTGGCATCAGCCTATGACCTTGTGGGTTTTAAGCAGGAGGTGTCAGAGAAGTTACCACAGGGATAACTGGCTTGTGGCGGCCAAGCGTTCATAGCGACGTCACTTTTTGATCCTTCGATGTCGGCTCTTCCTATCATTGTGAAGCAGAATTCACCAAGCGTTGGATTGTTCACCCACTAATAGGGAACGTGAGCTGGGTTTAGACCGTCGTGAGACAGGTTAGTTTTACCCTACTGATGAGGTGTCGTTGCCATGGTAATCCTGCTCAGTATGAGAGAAACCACAGGTTCCGACGTTCGGTGTATGTGCTTGGCTGAGGAGCCAATGGGGCGAAGCTGCCATCTGTGGGATTGTGACCGAACACCTCTACGTCAGAATCCTGCCCAGGCAGAACGATGCGGCAGCACCGCAGAGCCTCAGATGGCCTCAGAGAGCCCATCCCCTGCTATTCGGTGCAGAGTGCCCCTCATCCTGGGAAACAGGATGCGGCCAGAAGGGTAGCCACCCCCTTGCCTGCAGTGCAGTGCATGTTCGTGGAGAACTTGGTGCTAAACCATTCACAGACGACCTGCTTCTGGGTCAGGGTTTCGTAGGTAGCAGAGCAGTTCCCTCACTGCAGTCTATTGAAAGTCAGCCCTGGACATTTAAAACAAAGAAAAAATCTTCACTAATCTTACAAATAAATGCAACTTCTAGAATTAGGACTTCTTGGAAAGTGATTATGCCACACACTAGATGTTACTTCGTGTTGACAATGATTTATTAAAATAAGAGCTAATAGTCAGGTGTCTATATCATACTCAAAGAATGTAAGTTTTAGGCAAAGAATAGAAATCACAGGAACTGCATAACCCAAATAGTTGCATTATTCCTCAAAGATTCAAAAGCTTAGGCATTTGGAAGTAAGCAGAAGGAAAAAAACTATTAATGGAAGATCCCATGTGTAGGATTCAGGCATTGAACTTGGTTCCCTAATGGGAACGTCTTCTCTTCGCACCAGCTGCAACTTCGCGTGAGCGTCACTTTTCTGGAGGCTGTTCGGTGGAGTGCAGGCTATGCTTGCTTTCCTCTTCCTGCGATGTCACCATCAGGCCTGGACTCAGTAAGCTTACTGTGTGCTGGAAGACCTTTATGCGGATAAAACCAGTTGTTCATTTGATTGCGTAATTCTTATAAAAGTGGTTTGTTTTTTGTTTTTCTCATGAGACAGGGTCTTGCTCTGTTGCCAGGGGTAGAGTGCAGTGGCATCATCATAGCTCACTGTAACCTCAAACTCCTGGCCTCAAGCAATCCTCCCACCTTGGCCTCCCAAAGTGCTAGGATTATAGGTTTGAGCTACCACACCTAGCCCAAAAGTATATTCTAATAGTTAAAATTGCACATTATGGAAATACTTTTTAAAGCATTAAAATGGGTTTAATAAGATACTAACGTTATCTATGGTATTTCTTCTGATTTAATGTTTGTCTCTGTATGTAATGTTTGCATATAACCTTGTCACTATCAAGAGCAAATTGTAAGGCTGAGTATCTAATGAATGTGGAGGGAATCATTCCACCTAGTATGAAGTGAATTACAGAAGAGAAGGAAATTGCTGATTTCTTTGGCCTGCATGTTTGGTATGTTGTTTTTGTAGTGGGTAAATGTACACAGGTGGTGAATGATCTACCCTCTGAAAACACAAAGCTTTCCTTGTTTGTTTATTTTGTTTGTTTTCCTGATCACTTCTATAATACATTTTGGCTCTTTCAGAAATTGAGTGTTTTTAGTGATGTGATCATACTGTCCTTCATTACAGGGGCCAGACGCCTGCTGAGTCAGATTTCCAGGTGCTTGAAATTGCTCGAAAGTTGGAAATGTACGGCATCAGATTTCACACGGCTTCTGACAGAGAAGGAACCAAGATTAACCTGGCAGTTTCCCACATGGGTGTCCTCGTGTTCCAGGTAGGCCAGGGAGCAGGCAAGGTGGTGGTGTACTGCAACCTGGTGGGGCTCGTTTTTACAGATCTTGGGAGATGTTTATTCAGATGAATAAGGTCTTGGGTTAGGAAGGGGAGCTCTGTGTGTCGTCTGACTTTTTAGTCAGCAGGAAAACAAGTGTGACCCTCACTGTCATGGAGCCCACTGATTGCTGACTGACCCTGCCCCCGTCCTGCCCACTGATCCCCACCCTTGGACTCCTCACTGCCTCCCACTCCACTAGGACTGCCCATCGCCCTCCAGGGCTGCCCACTGTCCCTGGGGACTGCCCCGTCCCTCTTGGGGCTCCCACTGTTCCCTCCCCTCTTAGAATTCCAAACTTCAACTCTGACTCTTCCCTGTGGAACAGTCTCTGTGCTGTGGGTGTAAACTGTGTGGGATTATGAGAGCTTTGTAACGGGTCGCAGTCGTCACTTAAACAAAACAGAACAGACTAGAAAGTATCAGAGGGCTCAGTATGTGAAGAGTCAGTGTTGTATTAGCTGTGATGAGTGTATTAGCTGTGATGCGAAGGGACATAGTTCTCTGTGTGGTTATGTGTGTTCTGGCATTTGTGATGTCAAAGAAGTTTGACAGTTTGAAAGCTTCTCCTAGGCTGGCACAACCTAGGAGGAGTTTTTCTCCTTTTTCGGGCCCTCCACCTCTGTGAAGAATGGTAAGAGGCTCCCAAAGCCCTCTCTTAGCACACTAAATGTGTCCGACTCCTGTGATCCCCTCCTTGTGGGAGCACTCTCGTCACTGGCCCTTGTAAAATTTTGTGCCCCTGATTGACATCCTGAGGAGGTCTGCTCTTTGCTGAGTGTCGTGGGAGTTTCCATGCATGGGATCTGGGACCAGGTGCCTGCACCTGTGGCTCTTTTCATCTGTGGGCTCCTTTTAACCTGTGATCACCTAAAACACTTGGTCTGATGCAGACCTCCCTGATCAATCCATGCTTGTTTTCTTTTTCTTTTATTTTATTTTTTGTTAACCTAGCCATCAAATTTCAATTTCTTGTCAGAAAAAAATTAAATTTTGAACCTAGAATGTTAATTGTGTTATATGCCATACTCAGTATGATCAGAGAATAGTAAACACCCAAACCATGCCTGCACCTGCTGATGAGGGTTCCCACCTGGTGCAGGGTTTAAAATCACACATCCAAACTGAGTCCTTGGCATATTTCCAGAAAAAGACAAATAATTTACATCCTGAAGAAGTTGGAAAGGCAAAGGAAGAGAGACTTCAGATTAAAGATAGGAGATCGAATACATGCATTTATTTTTACTCCCTCAAAACTCCCATCAGAATGACAGTGAAGGATTTTTTTTAACGTTTAAATCCGTAAGAACAAAGAGTAGAAAAGCAGACAGGAGAAGATGAAGGATATCGGCAATGTGTTGGAAGCTGGGAAATGAAGAGATGAGTGGGCACTGACTTTGTGGAGTGGAAGAGGCTGGAATCTACAGCCTGCAGCGGGGAAGCCATGGAGCAGGCCTGTGTGTCCTCAGGAACCTGGGGAGGGCTCAGAGTCGGCCACACTGGGTACCTCTGGCAGCCAGGGGCAGGCTGAAGCTGGAAACACAGCCTGGTGTCATCTGTGTGAGGAGCTCTCACAGCCCAGATGGCAACCAGGGTGGCCATTCCTTGTGCTGCAGGAGGGCAGAGTCTCCTCTCCAGAGTGCAGAGCAGAAGGTAGGGGTGAGGCCACCTCCCTGAAAACGAATGGAAGCCTGCGATCAGAACAGCAAGGCAGGCCGCCCGTGTCTCAGCCCCTGTGGGACACTGGCCAGGTCGACGCTTGGGAACCAAGGACTACAGTCTGCTCCAGCCGGTGGTGGACAGGGACCCCGCGGATGCTGACACTGACACACCCCACCGTGGCAGGCCTGGGTCCCCACTAGCTTATGGGCCCTACACAGAGCAGCCTGCCAGCATCTTAGAGCTGCCCCTCTTTATGACTTTCATTTGGAAACACTTTTGAACTTAGAAAAGCTGTAAGAGTTGGAATACCACTGAGAGCCCTGCACCCTTGACCCAGGCTCCCCTCAACCAGCATCTGCCTCTTTTGTTCTGTTGCGTGTGCTCGATTGCCTAAATTCCCGCTCCCTGTCCGCCACACACGGTGTTTTCTGGAGCATTTGGGAGTACATTGCGCTCATCGGTGGCCTTTCACCCCTGCATACTTTACCGTGTATTTCCTAAGAGATGCCCTTATGTAACCACAGTGCAATTTTCCCTGACGCCATCGATACAAGTTCTTTAATCTACTGTTTAATACCCAATTTTGTCAGCAAGTGCTGTGATGTCCTTTATTGCTTTTGTTCCCCTCCAGGACAGGACCCAGTCTAGGGCAAGACAAAGCAGTTAGCTGTCCTGTCTCCAGTCTTCTTGAATCTGGAACATTTCCATGCCTTTTCTTTTTCTTTGTTTCTTCTTTTTTTTTTTTTTTTTTTTGAGACAGGGTCTTGCTCTGTCACCCAAGCTGGAATGCAAAGGTGCAGTCACAGCTCGCTGCAGCCTCAAACTTCTGGGCTCAAGTGATCCTCCTGACTCAGCCTCCCAAGTAGCTGGGACTACAAGTGCACACCACCTCTAGCTGACTTTTTATTATTTTTGTAGAGATGGGGTCTCATTATTCCCCAAGCTGGTAGTGAACTCCTGGCCTCAAGTGATCCTGCTGCCTCGGCCTCCCAAAGTGTTGGGATTACGGGCATGAGCCACTGCACCCAGCTTTTCTTCATTTTTTATGATAGGGACAGTATTAAAGAACAGTCCCTTTTAATTTTTAATAGAAAACTCCTCATTTGTAGCTGGTCAGATGTTTCCCTATGATTAGATTCAGGTGGTGCATTCCCAGGGGGAACACCACCACGTGACATTGCACCTCTCAGGGTGTCGCACATGGAGGCACTCGATGGCCATCTGTCCTCACTGGTGCTGTGAAGCTTGACCCTGTGTTTTCTCGTTCTTGCACCGCAGAGTTACTAGTTTTCCTCTCTGGGCCAATAACAATCCAGGGAGAGACATTTCAAGGCCATACAGACATCCTGTCCCTCATCAGTTTCCCCATTTAGCATCCACTGAAGATTCTTACGTGAACTGGTCTTCACTGTGATGGCTACAAACTCTAGCATTCCGAGAGCCTCACTCTTAAATACGTGCGGATACCCAAGGAGTGCCAGACAGCTGAGGAAAGTTCCTATTGTGAGGGGCAGGAACGAGATGTGTGGGGAAAAGGGACTCAGAAGAAACTGAACCAGTGCCAGGAATGGAAGAGATGGAAAAACAAAACCTACCATGTCCTCAGGAGGGGACTTTTTATCTATCAGATTTTGGCAAAATAGAAAAATTGCTTTATGCAGTGTCATGTGCATGAGAAATAGGAATGCCTTTTATCAGAAATGTAAAATTTTTATCTTGTCATTTTTTATTCCAACCTTGTCTGTAATATGAAAGTTAACTGGGAATTAGCCATCAGAAGGCCAGTTAGATACGTGGCCGTGCGGCCGCCTTATGGAGCACTGGGCAGCTGTACGAAGGATGAAGATGCTCGTCACGTCCTCACACGCGAAACACTGAAATATGTCCTTACGTGGCAAAAAGGTTCCTGCCCTACTGCTAGTGGGAAAAAGGAGGAGGATCACACAGTGTATATATTCTGTACAAAATAAACTGGTGACATCAATGGCCCCAGGAAGGGTGACTGCAGCTGGCAGGCTTTGGGGCAGTGATGAGAGAGACTTTTCACTGTGGACTCAGTTTTATACCTTCAGAATTTCAGCCTTGTTAATGTGTTACTATGTTACATTTTCACAAAACCCTCGTAGAAATAAGAGAAAACTTTGCATCTCTGAAACAAGAGCAGGATACTATGATAGGAACAAAGAGAGAACAAAGAAATGTTTGCAAATTTAAAAATAGGATAGCAGAAGTGACAGTGTTGACAGAGAATGGTTGAAAGATAAAGCTGAGGAAATCTCTACAAGGCAGAATAAAAGATAAAAGGAAGAAATACAGAGAAAAGTAAAGAAAATTAAAGCAGCAACCCAGGAGGTCCAACATACAGGAATTCCAGAGGCAGAACAAAGAAAGCAGGGGAGGAAATTGTTTTTTTGTTTTGTTTTGTTTTTTGAGACAGAGTCTCACTGTGTTGCCTGGGCTAGAGTGCCGTGGCATCATCCTAGCTCACAGCAACCTCAAACCTCTGGGCTCAAGCGATCCTCCTGCCTCAGCCTCCTGAGTAGCTGGGACTATAGGCATGCGCCACCATGCCCGGCTAGTTTTTTTTCTATATATTTTTAGTTGTTTGATTAATTTCTTTCTATTTTTAGTAGAGACGGGGTCTCGCTCTTGCTCAGGCAGGTTTCGAACTCCTGAGCTCAAACAATCCGCCTGCCTCGGCCTCCCAGAGAGCTAGGACTACAGGCGTGAGCCACCGCGCCCGGCCCAGGGGAGGAAATTGTTAAAGAAATTATGTGAGGAAAATACTTTCAGTTCCAAGGCACAGATTTTCAGATTGAAAGTGCCTACACATTCTCACTAAACAGATGAACAGACATTTCCATGAGATACAAGAGAAGATCCAAGAGCTTCCAGGAAGAAAAAGGAGAGAAAGAAATATGAATTAAATGGTGCTGGACTTGTTAGTAGCGACACTGGGAGCTGGAAGGCAGTGGGACAAGGAGTGGCTCAAAAACTAAAAGAAAATTATGTCCAACCTAGAAGCTATGGCCTGTCCCACACCACTTCTGTACGGAAGAAATAAGGCATTTTTCAGATGTGCAAATTTTCAAAAATTTAACTCCTACACTTGCCACTAGAGGAGAGAATAAGCCCAGAATTGTGGAAATAGGGTTCCCCTTTTAAGAGGCAAAGGCAGGCTCAGGCTGCACCCCGGCAGCAAGGACACCCACCAACGCCAGAGCTAGGACGGGGCTGCCAGGGACGCTGGCCCAGCACATCGTCTCTTGTGCTGGACTGTGCGGGAGAGTTCCGACTAGCGATGGGCACATGTGAAATCAGGCAAACAACAAGGGGCAATTAGTAACTCAGGGAGAATTTAAAGTAAAGAAGGAAGCACAGTGTGGTTATAATTCACCATGGATTAACTTGTAATACGTGATCAATAACATAAATAGCAAATTTACAAGTTACCAAAAATTGGACTGTGGGGAGGGTCAGTTTGAGGTAGTGGTGGTGACAAAAGTTCGAGAGTAGGTCTCACGGTGGGCAGCGTGCTGCCTGGAAACGTGGGTGAATGCGCGAGTGCCCGAGAGCCGAGCCCAGAGAGCTGCAGGTGGGTCTGCTGGGCAGAGGACTGCAGGTGCAGCAGTTGAGCAGGCAACCTCTGAGCCAGCTGGGCTTGTTGCAGCCTTGCAGTCTGTTGGGCATCTACAGATAGGCCATGGATTATTGGATAAAAATGAGAACGATGCCCGGCGCAGTGGCTCACGCCTGTAATTCTAGGACTCTGGGAGGCTGAGGCGGGAGGATCATCTGAGGTCAGGAGTTCGAGACCAGCCTGAGCGAGAGCCAGACCCTACAAAAAATAGTCTCTACAAAAAATAGAAAAATTAGCAGGATGTGGTGGTGCATGTGTATAGTCCCAGCTACTCAGGAGGCTGAGGCAGGAGGATCGCTGGAGCCCAAGAGTTTGAGGTTGCTGTGAGCTATGATGACACCACTGCACTCTAGCTGGGGTGACAAGGGAGAGACCCTGTCTTAAAAAAAAAAAAAATGAGAATCAAAGCAGTAGTTCTCAGTGTTCCACAGCTAACTACTCAGCTTGGAAAGTATCATCTTAGCCTATCAAGGCAGGGTGCACTAGATGAAGGCTCTCATTGTCCTTGAATTTTCTGTTGCTCCTTTTGTTTTGTGACAGTGGTTCAGACTGTGGATATACAGTCCTCCCTCTGTATCAGCAGAAAAAAGAATGTAATGAAAACTAATACACATTTAACATAATACAGTATAACAACTATTTACATGTATTAGATGTTATAAATAATCTAGAGATGATATAAAACAGCGGTCCCCAACCTTTTTGGCAGCAGGGACCATTTTCATGGAAGACAGTTTTCCCACAACTAGGGAGAGGGGGATGGTTTCAGGATAATTCAAGCACATTACATTTATTGTGCACTTTATTTCTATCATTATTACATAGTGATACAGAATGAAACAATTATACAACTCACCACAGGTTGGGGACCCCAGATGTAAAGTATCCAGGAGGATGTGGGTGGGTTATGTGCAAATACTATGTTGCTTTTTGTCAGGGACTTGAGCATTTGCAGATTTTGGTACTTGGGCGGGGGCGGGTCCTGGAACCAACTCCCTGAAGATACTGACAGATAACCTTAGTGATTTTTCACTTTGACCAGAAGGGGGAAATGGAACTGCAAACTAGCAGCTGGAAACAGTGGTGCGAGTGTCTCTCTGGGCAGGTTTTGCATCTTTCCTGGGAGTGCGCCCGTTTCTTCCTGCCTCTTTGGCAGGCTGTAGGCTTTTTAAGGCTTTGCTCTGGGTACATAAACAATGTCTAGAGCTGGGGTTGTGGGGATTTTGCTTTGTTTTCTTTTGCTGATGTTTTGTTTTGCTTTGTTTTTTAGAACATAATTTAGGAGAGGAACTTTGAGAACATAGTTGAAAGTCCTCCAATGTTTTGAGTAGATATTAGAGTAACTTTATGTTTGGGCAACATTTTGGGAGCTAGGATGCTTCAGTCCTCATTTAGACCCTAATATTTATAACTTGGCTTCGAGGACATCTTTTAACTCAGGAATTTTTTTAGGATATTTGCAGAGTTATACAACTATCACTGCTATCTAATTCCAGAATATTTTCATCACCCCAGAAAGAAACCCCCACACCCCTTAGCAGTAACTCCCCCAGCAACTACTAATGTCCACAATAGACAAATATCAAGATATTTCTGTCTCTACCTATTCTGGATGTTCCACATAAATGGGATCATACAATATGTGGCCTTTTTTATCTGATGTTCCCTTGTTTTCAAAGTCCTTCCATGTTGTAGTGTTTTGTTCTTTGTTATGGTTGAGGGGGTTTTATGGGTTTGTTTTGGTTTTTGAGCTGTCTCTGAAGGGACCACACCCCTCACCTTCTCCCATGTTGAGTTTGCAGAAAAGGGTAAATGCTGGTGATGGAAAGAGTAGAAGCTAAAATGCCAAAGCTGTGTCTTCAGACATTTTTTAAATCTTATTTTGAAACCATTTCAGGCTTACACAGAAGCTGCAAGAACAGCACAGAAAGCTCCTGCTGTCCCCTCCCTCAAGACGCTGTCCACCTTTCACTATTGTCCCAGTGTTGTTTACCATAGAAAGTCCAATCCAGGGTCACACGCTGCACCTTGCATTGTGTCTCTCTAGCCTCTGCAGTCTGGAACATTCTTCCTTCTTTCCTTGGATCTCATGACCTTGACATTTTAGAAGATTACAGGGTGGTCTTCATAGTGCCTGCAACGTGCTTGTGCAGCGCGTCCCAGCAGTGAGACTTGGGACTCTCCAAGTGACAGCGTGACCTGGTTCGTGTGACACATGGGACCCATCTGAGACTGAGTGAATATCTTGTACCTCACCCAAGTCACCTCCTGGTGAGATCACTGTGATGGTTGCCCAGTGACAGCTCTTTAAGTTCTGTTCTTCCTGCTACTGGAAGGAAGAATTTTCTCCCCGTCTATTTAGTTCATGTCACTGTGGATTCATGAATTCAAATCTGTCACTTGTCTGTTGCTGTCATTATTTACATATTTAAATTGTCCCATATTTGGTCCCAGGGAGCCCCTTCAAGCTGGCTCCTGTGTCCTTTTGACATGTCCCTCGTTCTTCGAGCACTGTTTACTTTCTCACACAAGACTGCCCTTTCCAGGCCACCTTCCTTGCAGTAGACTTCAAAAAGTGTGTAATATTAACATTGGTAAAAAATAATTTGTGGCCGGACATGGTGGCTCCCACCTATAATCCCAGCACTCTGGGAGGCTGGGGCAGGAGGATCACTTGAGGCCAGGAGTTTGAGACCAGCCTGAGTAAGAGCAAGACCCTGTCTCTACTAAAAATGAAAAATTAGCTGGGCATGGTGGTGCACACCTGTAGTTCCAGCTACTGGGGAGGCTAAGGCAGGAGGATTACTTGAGCCCAGGAGGTTGAGGTTGCAGTGAGCTGTGATGACACCACTGCATTCTAGCCAGGGCAACAGAGCGAGACTCTGTCTCCAAAAAAAAAAAAAAAAAAAAAATTATGATAAAGCCTTGTCAAGGAAATCAAGTTATCTTTCTAAAATAGATTGGTGTATTGATTGGTACTCGCACGTCAAAGGTGTGATTTAAACATTCTTTCATGAGAAAGGGGAGTATGTGTTCAGATTACAAATGTGCCACAAATGACTGTCTCTTGAATTTCAGGGCACCACCAAAATCAACACTTTCAACTGGTCTAAGGTCCGTAAACTAAGCTTTAAGAGGAAACGGTTTCTTATCAAACTCCATCCAGAGGTTCATGTAAGTATTATTTTGAGCATTTCTTAAATTATAAGAGAATTTATTCTGCTAGTCTATTGAGGGGTTTTTTAAAGCTACTTTGTAAATCATTTCAGCATACCACACACAGGAATTTAAGGACAGGATTTGGGATTGGAGTCTAGAAGGGCTTGAGGACAATCTGCCCTGTTGGTCTCACGATGGCCTCCTCTGAGAACCTTGTCACCTATGCATCCCTGAGCACTGCCTCCAGGATTTCAGATTCAGTGGGTTTGGGGTGGGCCCAAGGAGGTGAATGTCTGACAAGCTCCCAGGGGCTGCCGAGAACTGCTGGTTATTATGACCTCTTTGTTTCCTATGAAGCTGAATGAAGCTGAAGCACAAAGTGTTCAATAAAATATTCAAAGTCATCTGAAGCCCTACAGCAAAGCAGTGTCAGAGCTTCTGCTCAGAATGAACTGAGGGGTGTCCCCAGTGTTCTCATGTGTCTTTGATTCAGAAGTTGACCTTTTGAGTAGCTCTAATTGAAAAAGCCTTGATTATCAGGAAATAAATATTCCTTTCTTTAGAGATTGCCAGTCAATAGAGTAATAATTACATATGAATTTACTGGAATGAGTAAAAATGGAAAAAGTAAATGCCTGTATAGTCTGATATTTGGGAAAAAACCAATACTTCCAATTATTCAAAGATGTTCAAATCATTACAATTCCATCGTACAGGGAGAAGTGGGGAATAAAAAGTGCATGAGCTGAGCCGCCGCGGGTGAAGCTTGAGAGACGGCAGTGCCTGTGTCAGCGTAGACACACCGCAGGTCGCAGGAGATTTAAAGCCCTCAGACCAATTGGAAGAAAGGCTTTAGCTGAGCTTTTAAAAGGCATTTGATTAGCAGCGCTTCTCTCACACACCAGGTTCATGCGCAATGTGCAAGTGTGTTTGCTTTGGTAGAGGGCTTGAGAGGATGGCTTATTATTCAGATAACATACAAATTGCAAGTAAAAGGCTGCTTTTTTCTCTGTGAGTAAAAAATGTTTTTGCAGTTATTCTCAGAAGGTAGGTGTTTTGGGAAAATCCCATGACGGTGTAGAAAAACCACCCTCCAAAACGAGATGGAGACGAGAGACCAAAGAATGACTCAGACAAGTCCAGCTTGGCGAGTTAAATGAGTTTATTAGCAGTTTCTGGCACAGGGCGTTACTCCTGGGCCGCGCAGAATCTCTCCAGGGAGTAAATCCACGCAGCCTTACCCGTCCGTCACCTCAAGTCCCTTTGCAGAGAGTGATGCACGGAGCTCTTTCATTGCTTTGTCACCTGTTCCACGTAAACCAGACTGAGCATGTGCAGCGCAGTCAGGCGCCTTCATACAGCCCTTGTTACGTCCACACCGGCAGGGATTTCAGTGTTGCAGTTAGCCGAAGGTACCACAGAGCAGGCAAAGCAGTTAGGGCTGGTTTGTGCCGCTGGCCTCAAGGAACACTGAGCACATCTTGTATGCCTCGTGGTCATCTTTGACGTTTGCTTGATCTCGTCTGCAGCAAAGCCGAGCACTCCCGGTTCCAGTGTCCTCCCTGCGTGGTGCGGAACGCGTGCTCTTCCCTCAATAGGGAAAGAAGAGAATTACTGTGAACTGGAATAGTGCGATATTTCAAAGCTCAGAGTTGTGTTTCTATCTGCACTTGACAACATTACATTTTACATCCCCAAGCACTTATATTCTTAAGGCTAAATGTAGGGATCAAAGTACTATAGTCTTTCTGGAAAGAATTAATAATTTGGTAAGATATATCAGAAGGTTCAAAAATGTTCACTCTCTGTGATAGAGTGTTCCTGGCAAAAAGAAAAAAAATGTACATTGTCTTTGAGCTTAGAATTCCATTTCTAGAGATTTATCCTAAGTAATAACTATGAGAGAGGATGCAGTGGTTTCTTCATAATATTTTTGAGCCTGAAAACTGCATGTCCTGGACATAAAAAACATCCTAGATTTTTAAAGAAACTATGGACAAACAATTCCGTAATAACATATAAATATGTCAACTAGCATGGAAAGATGGCATAGTTTGGAGAAAGAGTGGTTCCAAAGAAACACTTCAGACTTCTGACAATATGTGATAGTGGAGGACTTCATTTCTCTGCTGTTTGTACCGTGAATGTGTGTATATATATATATATACACACAATGTTTCTCTTCTCTTAATTAAGTAAATGGAACCAGGAGTCTTTGCATACAATTTTTAGAAAAAGCTTCCTAATTTTTAATGTTGGAATTGCCTGTTGTGCGATCTGCTTCCTAAATTTACTTTCTCTTGTCCAGTACTTTATTCTTGAATTAATTACTTGAACCTTTGCATGTTGTTTCTAGGGACCTTACCAGGACACATTAGAATTTTTGTTGGGTAGTAGAGATGAATGTAAGAACTTCTGGAAGATTTGTGTGGAGTATCACACCTTTTTTAGACTTTTTGATCAACCTAAGCCAAAAGCGAAAGCCGTCTTCTTCAGCCGGGGCTCCTCCTTCAGATACAGGTACGGACCCTGCCGCGGGTTGCACAGGCCTCTCACTAGTTTGTAAAGCTGAGAAAATGGATAATGCCTAATGAAGAAAGAAGTGTTATAAAATATTTCAGAGAATTCATGCAAAGTGTAACTACTGTAAAAGATAATAACTAGAGAAAGCATATAAAATAAAATGTGAAAAAAATAGTAACAACTTTATTAGAAAGTCAGTTATGCTAATTACAAAGTATTGATAAAACTTTTTTTTTTTTTTTTTTTTTTTTTGAAGCAGTGTCGGTCTCTGTCACCCAGGCTGGAGCTCAGTGATGCAATCATAGCTCACTGGCAGCCTTAAAACCCTGGGCTCAAGTGATCTCTCTTGCTCAGCCTAAAGTAGCTGAGTCTAATGGCACATGCCACCGCATCTGGCTAATTTTTTAATTGTTTGTAGAGACAAGTCTTGCTACATTTCCCATGCTGGTCTCGAACTCCTGGGCTCAAGCAATCCGCCCGCCTCGGCCTCCCAAAGTATTGGGATTACATGCATGAGCCACTGTGCCTAGCCCCAAAGTATAACTTTAAAATATATATGTGTGTATTTGTGAGAGAGGCCAGGCAAATCTTACTTTTCTTTTGTCTTCTACTTTGAAAAATTAATGCTATGAGTTAGTGTTGATTCTTTTTTAAAAATCTGAACCTTTATTCACAGTGGAAGAACTCAGAAACAGCTAGTAGATTATTTCAAAGACGGTGGAATGAAGAGAATTCCATATGAAAGGTAAGTTCTACCCTTTGTGATGTTAATAAGCATGTGCTTCTAAAATTAGTATTTTAAATATTTTTCAGTGTGTGCTTCTAATATTAGTATTTTAAATATTTTTGATCTTTACTTGAATAAAATTCATTTCTTACACATAAATGTATATTTTGACACGAGTTCAGTTTCAGTTTTTTAAAGAAAATGGATTTGTAGTGTCTTACACAGACATTGTATACATATACAGACACCACTTTTTAGTTTCTAGTCTGTATAGTTTGGCTTACATGTAATGTTTTTACATAGTATGGTAAACTTTTAATCTGAAAATTCGTATTGTTTCTCTGCATGTGGAATTTTTCCTTTAGTGTGGGTGTATAAGTGTACCTCTTTTGAGGAATCTTTTTAATTCTCGTTTCCTGTTATCCTGCCCCTCTCTAGTTAGATGCCTCTGTCTTAGCCACATTTTTGTGTGAGGTGTTCCTCTTGGGTACAGCACATGCGTGCTGCTTCAAAAACAGGTATTGAGAAGAGAAGGGCTTGATTGCTCACAGCTCGTTCTCTGTTTTGTAGAAGGCACAGCAGGACCCAGATGTCTGTCCGTGCGCTGACTGCAGCTGTGCCAAAACAGGTTAGTCTTTCCTGGTTAAAAACATAGGCAATATTGACTCCTCTACTCTTTTGGAAAATAATCTGGCAGTGTTGTAACAGGAATCTTAAAATTAGTCATAGAATTTAATACAGCAATTCCAATTCTGGGACTCTGTTTTCAGAAAGGAGTCCTAAATAAAATGCTTTGTGCACTGAGATGTGCATCATAACATTATCTGTAACACATTTCGAAATCCTAAACGATACTAGCAACACTTTTAGCTGTATTCACTTAGTGGGATTTTTCGTAACCACTAACAGCACTGCTTATAAAGAATATGTAGTAGCATGGGGAAATTCTTGCTGTTAAGGGTGAAAAGCAGGAAACAAATTTATATCTATGTGTTTGGCATAACTGCAACTATATCAAAAGAAAGACCACACACATGGGCTTACCCAAACACTTCGTAGGAAAACATTCAGCAAGAATGTCCTAAAACGTGGCAGTAGCTGCTCTGTGCCTCTGTGACAGACCGTTGGTGACCTTTTCATGTCTCAGATCTACTTCACAGTCCCTTCCCGTTTTCACATTTGCATGTTAACTTACACACACAAGCATGTTTTAAATTTTTTTTAAATCAGGCAACACCTCATTCTATACCATATAACGAGTGTTTTCCAGCAAGCATATTCTTACACAGAATCTTGCTATTTTCGTATAATATGTCGTAACTTTTTCATCGTGCTGCTACAGTTTCATATTTATAATTTTTATTTCTGCATGGTGTTCATTTTTGTTGATGGCTTATCATTTATGCTGTCATAGAATTTCCAGGAGCTACACTTGTACCTCACGTATTAAAGCTCATGTGTCCTAAGCTTTTTTTTAATGTGTCTTTTAAATCAAAACCTTCTTTAACTCTTCTAGGTATACTTCCTTATTAGAAATTTCTTATTAAATCAGTTGAAATTAAAAGAAAATGTATTTTTAATTGTTTCCTTACAAAGTTCAAATTTAATGTCAAAATATGAATCATCAAAAAATCACCTTTAAGCTTTCATTTCTCTTCTATTGCATTTTAAAAGCCACAAGAGAATGTTGAATAGGTTGAATGGTTAAGAAAAAGTGATATGATAAACATTTGAAGATAGATTAATCTTATGGACTTCCTGTTTTGTTTCTGAAAGGTTAGTTGCTGGGCCTTCTGCCATTGCATTTGCTTGTGTTACGTATTGTAACATGTACTTACGTATCTTGCCTGTATACATGCTGCACAGAAAAGTATTCAGTTCTTGACAGGTGTGGTGGCTCATACCTACAATCCCAGCAACTCAGGAGGTCGAGGCAAGAGGATCAGTTGAGGCCAGCAGTTTGAGACCAGCCTGGGCAAGGCATGGTGGTGGGTGCCTGTAGTCCCAGCTACTTGGGAGGCTATGGCAGGAGGATCACTGAGCCCAAGGGTTCAAGGCTGCAGTGGGCTGCGATTGCACCACTGCACTCCAGCTTGGGTGGCAGAGCAAGACCCCATACATTAAAAAAAAAATGAAGTTCCTTAATTCTTTTTGGTTATATTTTGGTCTGACTACCCTCTTAATGATGTTGCATGTGTATGTGTAATAAGGGTTTTCTCAAGGTGTGGCCGTGCTCAGTGATGGCACGCATGAGGAGCGACCCTTAGCAAGTAGAGAGGCCTCATCTTGCATGTGGAACCGTGAGTGAGGATGTAGTTAGGGCACCCGTGGAGTGGCCAGTGGTGCAATGTGGCTTCCTGACATCTCTAGCCACAGCCCCTCCAGTGCTTCCTCATCCTGCCCAGCCTCTGCCCACTCACACTCTGGTCCCTGCAGTGCTTCCAGTAGGCCCCGCTGGCGTTGGCAAGGAGATCCTAGGCAGTGACCCTTGACCTTCTGTTGCATATGTGAATGGACTTATAGGTTCCCACTCCCTGGGGACTGTAAATCTCTGACGGACAAGTGCCCATTACTGTGGAGCTCGGACTTGTTCCTCGGTGTCAGCACCGTGGTTTGGAGTGCTGCTGGTGGAGCGGAAGACTCAGCCCTCAGCAAAACAAAGGATGCCCAGAAACATGCACTTGCAGCTGCAGGGGGCAGGGACTGCCACAGAGACGAGGGCCATCCATCACCAGCTTCTGCCTGATGGAGATTTTCTTCATTGTGCACGTTTCATGCCATAAGAGAAAGAAATGGAATTGTAAGTAAGGGTTTATAAACAGATGATCCTATGCTTGCGTTTATAGATCTTCAATTCTAAAAGGGAAAGTCCAATCGATTGCACTTTTTTAATTACTCATTTATTTTATTTTATTTTATTTTTTGAGAAAGTATCTTGCTCTTTTGCCCAGGCTAGAGTGTAGTGGCATCATCATATCCCACTGCAGCCTCCAACTCCTGGGCTCAAGTGATCCTCCTGCCTCAGCCTCCTGAGTAGCTGGGACTACAGGCGTGTGCCACGCCCAGCTAATTTTTTTTATTTTTTGTATAGACAGGGTTTCCCTATTGCCCAGGCTGGTCTCAAACTCCTAGGCCTCAAGTGATCGTCCCAGCTTAGCCTCCCAAAGTGCTGGGACTGTAGGCGTGAGCCACCTCGCCCAGCCCAATTGCCCATTTTTGTAAAAGCTGTGATAGAAATGTGTGGATGCCCTAAGTTGGGCCCAGTTGGCTTTGCAACTTCTAGTGGTAATTTGTGATTTTATATGTTCTTTTTTTTTCCTTTTCTTAATTTTCACCCCCAGAGCATCCCATTCATGGAAGGATTGAGGACTTCTGCCTCCCCATCTTCAGCAAATGCCTCCTTTTACCCGCTGCCTACCTCCCCTTTGACTCCCTCCAGCCTGCCTGATTTCAAGGACAGCAGCAGCTCCCTTACAGACCCCCAGGTTTCCTACATCAAGAGTCCAGCTGCGGAGAGGAGCAGCGGAGCAGTGGCCAGAGGCCCCAACGTGCAGCCGGCCCAGTCCCCTGGGCCCCTCGCACTCCAGCCTGGTTCAGGTGTTGAGTTTTGTCATGTTGTGAGCAGTTGTGGTTCCATCTGTCCCAAGGGGCAGAGTCTCGCTGCCTTAGACCTAGACACAGGGAGGGCCAGCAGGGAACGCAGAGCTGCTTGTAAAAATGACAATGGTGAGGATGACTTTACCACAGGCTCATTCCCTTCCAGTGGGGAGTACCGGTGTGGCTGGCAGTGCCACGGGGGGGCACCTGTTTTCACATTGACAAATGCCCAGCTGCAGGTGTCTGAGGAGTTCATAGATGATGACCCAGCAGACATCTCTTTCTTTGCTGGAGGCTCTGAGGCATTTTCATTCCGATATAGCTCTTTAGTCCTGCAGGAACCGCAGGTGCCTGCCCAGCCCATGGCGTCCCCTCCTTTGTGTGGTCCAGGTGCCTTCCAGCATCCAGCGTCTGCCCAGTCCAGCCCAGACAGGTACTCCACTGAGGCAGTAGACATGAACATAGAAGATGATTTTGAATTTGAGGAAGAAAGTGACTTCAATGGCAATGTGCACCCTGCAGACACCTCGGAGCTGTTTGAGGTGAAGGCTCAAGCTAGCCTGATGCAGAGCCTGTTGAGTCCTTCTGAGTCTAGCTCGCTTAGGAACAACCAGTCTGAAAACAGCTCCCTCAATAACGTGCCACTGCATGGCGGGTTGTCCTTGCACACGTCCAGCTCAGCCAATCAGTCTGAGGCCAGCTCTATGGTCAACTTCCCAGCCTACTCGGTCCGCTCCGAGTCCAGCTCGGCCTTCCAGTTCTCTGACATCATCGACCAGCTAGAGCAGCTCAGCTACCCACCCACGGCAGCCGAGGACTCCAGCAGCACAGACACAGATTCGTGGGACTCTGAGGCTGAGGCCCCCCTAGATGTGAGCCTTTTTTTCAGCACCCCTTTTGCACAGACAGGTAGAGAGAGAATCCCTTTTGATTTGCAGAACAATTTAAAGAATTTGACTCCAGGAGAGCGGGTAGACAGAAATCCGTCTTGATCACTCTGGGTTCCTTTGCAGGGCCACCCACCTAACCACTCCGTAGTTTAGAGCTCAGAATTGGTTGGTTTAGACATAGAAAGTGATTTGGAGTTCATGGCTAGATATTCAATTGTTTTTAATTCCCTGATTTATTATACTTTTTCAGATGTCAAAGAATTAAAATTTTCACTTGGAATGATGTTAAAAGCTATGCATCCAGTTTAAAATAGATGAGTATTTCCAGCCAGTCCTCCTGAAGGCTGATAAATTAGTCTTTGTACCTTTATTTTTTTTTGGCATATGCTTTGATTCAAGGAAAAATTGGTGCTATACATTTTGAATGTTACACAGTTCTGATTCATGTTGATCTTTAATAGAATGTGTATTACACTTATTAGTGCTGCTTTTTAAGATGAGCCATGCTGCCCATAACTGATTGGGATGGAGGTTTTGTGTACTTTGTCTCGAATGTGCCTCTGCAGAGTCCCCACCTGGGGAGACAGGTGCTATGGTCTTCAGCTGCACTACAGAGGGGAGAGGGGTGTCCCTGGAACTGTCCCAGTGCCAAAGGCATCGTCTCATTATTGACTTGAAACCTAGAAAATAGTGCTATGTTTAGATAGTAGTCTTGGAGAAGCATTGGTTTAAAATGCACTTAATGTAAATTTGAACTGTTTTCTTCCGTTCAGCTTAATTGGAAGTATAAAAGATACATGGCTGCAGAAAAAGTAGAACCAGACACACAGGTGGGCCCAAGAGCCAAGATGTAAGCCAGTGCAGGAGAGTTGTCGTCTTTTGACTGGCAGAGTAAGTCGTTAATTCAAATAATGAGCACAGTAGGAATCCCCCAGAATGTACAAGGGGCTTGAACTCACCCTCTTTCTTCAGGGTGACATTTCTTTGATGCCAGGTGGTCTGTAATGTGACATCACTAGCTGGTCCTAAGAGGTGCTGCCGTGGGCATCGTTCTGTCCCAAGGCAGTGGGAAGGGTCATGTGAGCAGATGGGCCAAGGTGGCCCTGCCCACCTGTCTGGTACACCCTGATGTGCGTGGGTGCTGGGGCCCTGCTGGGCACATGTGGGGGGCTCCCTGCTCTAAACCACCGTAAAAGTCGGGCTGACACTCGTGCGCAGAGTGGACGGCTCCATCCGTGGACGTCAAGGGAGAAACCGCTGCCGTGCAGCCCAGCACTCGAGCGCCAGGCTCGGCCAGCCCTGACAACACTGTTGAATGCGTCAAGTCCACAGGCTGGGTTTTGAGCTGTTGTTATTGTTTATCTTTTCTCATCTAGTAGTGCAATACCATTTTTGAAGTTTAATTTTGTTTCCACAATATCCTGTGGAAACTTTAAGCATTGATTTCTACTCATGTATAAGACCTCCAGTTCCTTTTCTGGGTGGATGGATCTACTGTGTTTGCACAGAGGCCATGTGGCTCAGGGGTCCTTTAGAGCCGTCAACGGCATCTGGAGAGTGTCAGCCTTTCTCTTCTTGTTAGTGTTAGTTGGATTGAGCAGCGGGGTTGTGGCCAGACGCACTGAGTGATGTCCCGTTTCTGTAGCTCTGTTAAACCTAATCCACAGCCGCCTCATTTTACTGGTCTACGCAGCTGGCGTGTGTGCAGTGTGTTTAGCTATAGTTTATTCTGTCCCTTGTCAAGACCTGCCTTCTTAGTGCTTCTGAGGCCACTTGGTGCAGCATTCCGTTTCGGCCGACAGTGTCTGTGAAAGATGATGTGACTGCAGGAGAGCAGATGGTGGCCCTGCGTGAGGGCTGTCTCTCCCCGTCATCAGTGCTGCCCAGCGAATGTACTTGTTGATGCCGCAAGCTAACGAAGTCGTCCTTTTTTCTTTCTTTTTTTTTCTCCTTAAGGTAACCCATGCTAGTGTCTGCTCAGCAGGTCGGGTTTGGGTGGCTTCGAGCCCACTCTGCTGCCGGGCGGGGACCACGTGCTGGTGCCGCAGTGCAGTGGGAAGGGGTGGCGGTCCCTGCACCAGGCAGCTGTGTCTCGTCATTCCCGTCGGAGATTCTGCATCAATTTTATTCTTAGCCATCGGTGCCTCCTATAAAATGGGTTTTGTTGTTTTGGTTTTTGTTAAGGGAACTTCACTTCCCTTAACTAATTTTCCCTTCCCTAAAACTAATTTTTTAGTTTTTTATTTAAAAAGTTTGCAAAATATACAGAAGCTGAAAGAGGACTATAAGGAACCCCTGTCACCCCAGATTCAGTGTCACCGACCTTTGCCACTGTTACTCCCTCTGTGCCTTTTTTCTTCTGTGTTTGCTGCTATGATATTTTCGAGAAGACACCAGTCACGATAATGAGTTTCCTCAGAATTTCTGCACGTGTCTCAGAAACATAAGGACACCTTAAATTAAGAATTTCTTGGTATTATCTAACATTGAGAACATACTTAAATCCCCTAGTTGTATTTAAAATGCCTAGTAACGTTTAGTTCAAGTAAGGATCCAGACACAATCTGCTCCCTGCATCTGACCTTTACATTTCATTTAGAAGAGCTCCCCCGCCCCCACCACCCTTTTTCATGCCAGTGACTTTAGGAAGAAGCTGGGTGGTGGGCCTGCTGCGTGTCACACCATCTGGACCTGCCACGCATCACCACTAAGTGCTGGTCTGTCACTTGCACCGATGTCCACAGGCCCGTGTGGTCGGCCGCTCCTCAGGGCCCAGCAGCCCAGATGCTCTGTGGACAGTGCCAGGGAAGGTGTGATTTTCAGGTTCAGGTTTAACTTTTTGGCATGATCTGGAGAAAATTTGAACAGCTTTCCTTTCCCAGAGTGTTCACAATAACTTCTAAGTGTTACAGCTTTTTCATTGTAATGAAACAGTTTATTTAAAAACAAGGCTGGGTGAGGTGGCTCACACCTGTAATTTTAGCACTCTGGGAGGCCCAGGCGGGTGGATCGCTTGAGGCCAGGAGTTTGAGGTTGCTGTGAGCAAGGCTCACGCCACGGCACTCTAGCCCGGGCAACATCTAGACTCTGTCTCTGGAAAAAAAAATTTAAAAACCAGTTGTGGCTTTCTCCTGAGTTACTGCTCACAGCTCCCCTTCCCTTTCCCTTTTGAGTGGGTTGTAACGCCTGCGCAGCGGGACTTAGAAACTGAAGGGAAAGCCAGAGAGTGCAACACAGGGTCTTTAGAAGCCAAAGAGCAACGCTTCCTACTACCAATTATGTCTTTCTACACTAACAGTTGTTAAGCAGTGACACTGTTCTTTTTCACCTTCATAAAATGGTTTGTAGTGGTTAAATATTAAGACATCCAGAACAGTTTGGCCTGAAGCCAGGGAGCCCTGAGTCCGCAGCAGGCCTTGCTGTTGTTCGCAGGAGTGCTGGGTGGGCCTCAGCCAGGAGGCCTGGCCGGGGAAGCCCAGGCTGTAAGGCACAGTGTTCAGACTGGAAGAAGTGCGTGGAGTCTAATCAGCACATCTGGAGACAGCAGGCTAAGCATGTGTAGGTGAAAGTGCCTGTAAAATGTTGACAGTTTTCTCCTTTAATCTATTGATCTCCTTAGTTACACCCAGAACCTTAAAGCTACACAGTCGCCAGGCTCTGCCTGCAGCCTGAGGTGAGAGCCTGCGGTCTCAGACGGGAGCTGCTTTGGTGACTCAGGAGGGCTCCCCCGTGGGGTGCAATCACAGCCAGGTGTGTCCACACAGACAGGTGACGTGATCCTGCAGCATTCCCTACACTCAAGGCCACCAGCGGGCAATGCCTGTTGTGCCCACAAAGTCTGCCACTAATAATACACTCTGCTTAGGCAGAATATTTATTTTTATTAGTTATCAAGTCTATTTTTGTATTTAAGTTTCCAAAGTCAAGGTAGTTTATATAAGCCAATATATGGATATTCTGAGTCTAACAGCAGTACAGTTATGTGTTAATATGATTGACTACACTAAAAAATGTGTTATACTATGTATTATAATTTTTGAAATCATTAAGGTATTGCTATGTGCCTTTTTTATATTACAAAGGGATTCTCTAAGCATAAAATTAGATTAG